ATCCACAGCTGTTTAGAGAAAAGGAACAAGGAATGAGAAAAAGGAGAAGGGAATGTTCAGGTGAGGACTGAAAACATGTAAAGAAACAGGAAAGTTAGGGCCGCAGAACTTTATGTGAGAAGAAATGTGGGTGCCTGAGAGAAATTGACTTGTTAGTTGTAAAACAGGAAAAGGGTGAAGGGAACACAACATGTACTTTACCCCACTTCGCCCTCAGAAAGTGTTCTAGATCATTCCTGGGTCAGTTATAAAGGATGGCATGGCAAGGGAGATATTTACTGGCATTTCTCAAGATAAACGTTCATGACTTCTGAATATGTCTCCAAGTATTAACCAAGAACATTACATTTAATATGTAAAGTGTGAAGTATTTCTTTCTAAAGTCCCTAAATTCTTGGAGTAGGGCACAACAGCTGTCACCATAACTTTAGAACACGGCCTCAACCCACACAAGACTTTATGGCCTTCTAAAGACCAAACTAACTTATCTCACACAGCTGGAGAATAACGCAGGAAAGAGTCAGAGGGAAGGGCCCAAAAAAAGAAATTACAAAGAAGCTGTGCTGCCATAATAAGATCACATTTGCCAGAGAAATAATGCATCAAACATTTGGTGTTAATCAGAAAGGAACAATAGAAGATGCTATAGGGAAATCACAGCTTTTGAACAAATACTTAAAAGAAAATGTTTCTCATAGATCTAAAATTTGTCAGATAAAAGAAATAAATGAGTTCATCAAGTTTGTGATCCAGAAACCTAGTCAAGAAATACCAATTGCCAAGGCAGTTATTTATCTTAAAGTGATTGCAGTTAACAAGAAGCACAGTGTCCCAGAATTAGAGTTCAAGGGCAGTTTCAAGTGGTCTGGGAGAATGATGCTTCAAAGTGGGTCAGCCTCACGGTAAAAAACCAGCGTAGCTCCTCGGTGCTGAATGATGTTGGTGCAAGACCCATCTCTGTAGTACTGCAGTCTAGCTTCAGGTAAAACCACTTTCTATGTGGGTCAGATAGGCAATTTTTAAAAATGTATTTTTCTGTAGCAGTGAACAGAATGGGCAAGAAACTTGAATAGGGGGGCACCTAGGTGCACAGTGGTTGAGTGTCTGCCTTCAGCTCAGTGTGATCTCTGAATCCTTGGATTGAGTCCCACATTGGGCTCCTCAGAGGGAGCCTACTTCTCCTAATGCCTATGTCTCTGCCTTTATGTCTCTCATGAATGAATAATAAAATCTTTAAAAGAGAGAGAGAGAAACTTGGATAGGTTGTGAAACTTATAAAAAAAAGAACCAAAACTCATCACATTATGAGAACCTAAGTCTTCAGTTGTTGTTTTTGAAGTGCTACACAGTAGTAGAGCATGCCCTCAGCCTGATTGTATGAATTAAAAAAAGAGGCTGCAGGAATGTGGACTTGCCTTAGACTAGTATGGAGTTCTTGTTTAAAAACAAAAATCAAGGGGATCCTGGATGGCTCAGCGGTTTGGCACCTGCCTTTGGCCCGGAGCGTGATCCTAGAGTCCTGGGATCGAGTCCCACATCAGGCTTCCTGGATGGAGCCTGCTTCTCCTCTGTCTATGTCTCTGCCTCTGTGTGTGTGTGTGTGTGTCTCATGAATAAATAAATAAAATCTAAATTAATTAACAAAAATCAAGCGTGCTGATTTTAGATTTCTTTTTTTAATGGATATAACCTGTCACAGGGAAAAAAAATGTATAAATGTAGTACTGACCTGGCTAATGTGAAATAATGACTTCAGAAGGTGTGGTCTAGATATTGGTAACCACCTGTGTTAAGAATCCACACTGACTGGGGTCCCTGGGTGGGTCAGTCAGTTAAGCACCCAACTCTTGGTTTTAGCTCAGGTCCTGATCTCAGGGTTGTGAGATCAAGCCCGACATCAGGCTCTACTCTACATCAGGCTCTACTCTACTCTCTTCGTGGAATCTGCTTAAGTTTCTCTCTCCCCCTGCCCCTCCCCATGCTCGCACACACTCACTCATACACTCCCTCTTTTTCAAATAAATAAATAAATCTTTAAAAAAAAAAAAAAAAGAAAGAATCCACGCTGACTGGTTGCTTTCTGGCAGTCATGCACTGGGACCACATGGAAAATTGGAAACTCTGTTATGTTTTTGGCATGGGATTTAATCTCAGTACATTGATAAAGGCTTCCAAAGGAGTTCAGATAAAAAGTGGGACTGATTATGAGCTTCAGTAGTGATATGAAGCAGAAGAGGAAGACTTGAACAACAGCAAAGACGACTACAAATAAATAGCAAGGACATCTGTGATTTAAAATTTGAGCAAGGGGATAGTAAGTATAAGAACATTTCATGTTTCATTCCACAGGGTAAATAAATACTATTTTTCAATACCATTGTATATTCAAGCTGTATTTGCCAAATTTATCTAATTATAAGATAATTGGGACCCTTGTCAAAAACAAAAATTTTCATATCTCCTAGAATCAGTTTCCAGGCATGGGCCTAGGGTACTGTATTTTTGACAAATGGTCCAGATGAATTATATACTCAGCCAATTTCAGGAAGCACTGACTTATGCCAATTCAATGTGCCTGAATGTTGGCAAGTTGTCATAATGTTAACCTAATGTGTTAGATAGAATTTTCTTCAAGTGATAGATGTTACAATACCATGTGGCAATAGAATTATGATAAATATTAATGTTGACAAACTCATAATTTTAGGGTTAATAGCTTATCCTCTGTGTTAAATTTTCCTGTTCTGTAACAGGTATTAGGTGTCATCATGTGGAAGTAAAGACCCAGTGAAAAATAGAATTCCACATCCCCATCTCAAAGATCCTTCTCAAAGGTCCTGTCTTCCTTCCAGGAATGCAAATTCTCAAGGAGACTTTGCTCATCTAAGAACATTCACATGTGTCCTCAAAGTACTGAAACTTCTACAGCTATCTTTTTGCAGTTCAAGTTGTACATACATTTTATCTGAAGGTCAGCCTAAAGGAAATGTCTTAGAAGAAAGGCACCTTTTCCTCTTAATGGTTTTTTTTCTTTGGATAAAAATCTTGTACTTGCAATCTGTGGTATTGTAATAAAAATATACATAGTCCAGTACCTGTTAAGTGTTGCCAAATGGAGACTCTCAAAAATATCTAAGCTGGCTTATTTGTTTGATTTTTTTAATAACTGGTGGTTGTTTCTACTTCTCCAAACCTATTGGTCTTTTTGTTGTAAGCAAGTCTGGTCACAGTTCCCAAATAAGAAACAAATCACACTGTCCTGCATTTCTCAAAAACTGTTGACAATCTAACTAGGCAAGACAGAAACACACAGAAAATAAAATAAGTGTACCAGACACTGCCTTGCAGTGTTACAGCATGGGAGTGATACAGACAGTAAAACCTAAATTCCCAGTAAAGAGAGTGTATAATCAGTAAACTTAAAAAAAAAAAATCAGTACACTTATGAACAAAATACAATTGTTTTTCTCTCTGACAAAGGCAAGAATGTGACAAACTTTCTGGCATCATATAAGAAAGGCACACACATAACTATCTGCTTCTTTCTTCATTTCCCTCGCAGGCACATTCCTATGTGACCCCCCTACTTCTTTTGCACACTGTCATGCTTATATGTTATTTCTTATAAGCATCTTGAAGTTTTCTTAAGGCGCTCCCTCAGACTCCTGAGGCAGATATAATCAGGACAGGTGACTAAGCATCAGAGGAACCGGGATCAAATCAGAGTCAAACTCTCAGGGGACTCCTACTTTCTAGTCACGAGAGGATGGGGATTTGTGTTGGCTTAGGCTCTGAGAAGCCATTTGTTTTCCTCTCTGTATCCCAGTATGGGCCTTCCAAGTCTCCTCTTGCCCCTGCCTCCCCATCTCCAGTGCCACTCCTCTGCCATGACCAAGCAGCAAGGTCAACAGAGTACCTGAACTTTTATTGCAAGTGAAAGAATTGAGGCACACAACACGTGTATTGGCAAGATGAATCACATACCTATCCTCAGCTCTTTCATCCCTGGGCAGACATAAGCTTAAAACTCTGTACATTTCCAGGGGCTCTCCTTGGTTGTACTCCTTTGTATCAGACCTTTCTTCTGGGCTCTGTTCTTTAAAGTTCTTCATACTTCAAGGCTTGACCACCACTCTTAGATTTGGATTTCTAGAAGAAAAATGGCCTTTCCTCTGAAAGTTCCTCATTCTTCATTTCTTCCCTTCTTGTCCTATTTCACCACTTCTCAAGAAACTGCTGTTTCAAAAACAGTATTCCCAACCTAGGAAGCCTTCCCTGAGCTCTGCCTGTGTACATACCATTTTATTCCTACTTTGTCCTATCTCTTGCCCTAAAGGCTTACGGGAAGTTGGTCTTCTACTCCTTGGCTTTTTGTTCAACCTCCCATTCCTCTGGAAAATAAAGTTCTAAAAATAGTCTCCCATCCCCCATTTTCCCTTGGAAACCCTATTTGTGAATTTATAGAGCACATTTGCATATTATCAGTAATCATTGTCTTAATATTTGGTTCTGTATAATTGTGTTTTAATAAAGCTTTGCTGTCATATTTGAAGATTGGCCCTCAAATCTAGCTTACTTGGGGAAGCTCATGTCTCCACCTTTGCCATTCAAGACTGAACTTAGATGGAAATGTGCACTAAATAGTACATCTTAAATTTTATTTATTTATATATATAATTATTATTATTATTATTATTTTTTGGTCTTTTGCTAGATCATGCAAATGCATTGGCCAGGCTGTTGGAAGGCTTTGCCAGAGTTCGAGTTTTAGCTGTTTGTTTAGAACTGTTGTGTCTGACCCTGAGAGGTTGTCTGTTTTAGGTGTAAGTACCGGTGTGGATGTGCTGTAGTTCATATTCAGGCCTCCGTTACTTTTTATGAGTTCAGGATCTCTACTGTGTTTTTGCCTGGTTGAAACTCAGTTATAGTAAAATATTCATCCAGAAAGATGTCTGATCAATATTCATCTGTTAAATCTGCTTTCTTTACTTTCATTTCAGATTTGTCCAATATGTGCAGCATTACCTGGAGGCGATCCTAATCATGTCACGGATGACTTTGCAGCTCATCTTACACTTGAACACAGAGCCCCTAGAGATTTAATATCCTTTTAAGAGGCAAGAAGGGATAGAGTTGTTTGTAATGTTTGTTACTTTGATTATTTTTAGGACAACATACTCAAAGAAAACTAACCTCCAAATTATTTTAGTTTATTAGACCTTTCCTAAAAATGATTCAGTGTTGAGATACAATTTATTTTTCTTTTTATATGCTATGACTGTCACATTAACAACACTCATTAAGTGAAAATTGCCTTGCTCATCATCTTCACTCCATTACAGTCATTTTTTGTTTTTAAAAGACTGACTAGGTTAAAAGTTTTCAGCCGGGTGTTTTCATTACAAAAGAGGAAGATGCTAATATAAATTAAAATCTAAGTAAATATAAAGAGAATTTATTTGCATTCTCTCCCTGTGCCCTCTTGCCTTGCCCTGTTACAGGTGGGTTATGAGTGGGGATGCATGTTGGGGCTGCTTTCCCTTTTGGAGTCCTCTTCTCTGGAGACAGTCATTCCCCACCCAGTCTGAGTCGGACAGCATAAGGTCAGATCCAGCTCCAAAGTCCTTCCCTACTTTCCTTTCTGCTTCCCCTTTGCAAGTCTCTCTCTCAGCAGTTGCTGGTGACGTTCCATATAATCTTCAAGAGGTTAGCGGCCCACCAGAGTAATTAATTTTATACACCCTGTGCTTCTTGTTTCAAGTTATGAATTATTTTTCTAAGACTATCCCCTATCAACAGGGGTCTGTTTTCATGTAAAGATGTCAGTGTTCATTATAGTTCAAAGCAATTCAAGAGCTATTCACAACTTTTCTCTTTGCCAGATTTCATTCTGATTCCTTTGATTGCCTCCTGGCAATCATAATTCAACCTTCGTCCTACTGAGGAAGAAACTGGTTCGATGATTTTCTTGTCCCACAGCTCCCCTCCCTTATATGGTTCCTCATTTTCTAACTGGAAATATGGTGCCTCGGAGTTAGGGGAAAATGAGAAAACTAATGGAAAGATAAAGACATAGAATTAACCTAAGAAATTAGAATGTCAGTCAGACCTGAGCCAAGAGCCAGTCAAAGGGCTAGTATTCACTGAACAGAGGAAACCACTTTTCCTCTCTCCTAAGTGCTGAGGACACTGAAAGCATAATGAAGAATGTGTGTGTATGTGTGTGTGTGTGTTAGGAGAGTAAGAAAACCCAGATGGGCAAACAAATACTTAAGTCTTTGAGTTGCTTCATACTTTATATAAAAGAATCTTACAACAATATCCAGAGGGTTATGCTTGATCCCTGTTTCACTTGATCTTCATGGAGAAGCTAGGCAAATAACTTAAAGCCAAACTGTTATCCTGAACTTTTTCAGCAAATTCAAGGAATTCTAGTGAAATTGTTATCCATATTCCATGTCATCTATATCCATTTTTGTGAAATTATAAGAATCTCTGGTTATCAAGAGAAAATGAAATTATGCAAAATTAAGAATAAGAGAAGGCATATGTTACATTTTAGATTCCTAACAAGTATTACCATGAGGTTCTAGAAAACAAAATGTTGACACTGCAGTCAACACTGGAAATATACTGATTATTCAGGTACTTCAGGTGCTGCTGTATGGTGACTTTGTCATGAGGGAGTGGTTTCTCTCGAAGCCTCATAAGCATCAGAACTTTTTTCTTTCTTTTTTTTTTTTCAGAACTTTTTTCTTTTAAACTGTTTTGATGGAACTCTTCCTAAAGTGCACTTTTTATACCCAGATGCTTTTTAAAAACAAAGTACAATGATCATAACATCACTTTCTGTAGACCCAAACCATGATCCTGGGTACCGTGATGAGATGTGCACATTCTGGTGGCACCTGAGGGCTTCATGGAGCTGCTCAGCCTGTCCCCAAATGACTCCAAAATCATCAGCTGTGAACTGGGAAGCCAGCAAAAAGTTATTGTGCACTTTATAGATGTTCTGTGTGCTGCTTTGAAAGAGAAGTCTCTTTGACAATGATAGCTGGCGTTACCCAGACGCTGGCCATCGTGGAAATGCAAGATTGTCTTCATGAGTTTGGGTAGCTGTCTGCTATTCGGGATGTTCTTTAGTTTGAGTTAGCTGTAGGAGATGGGGGAGGCTGCTGCATATGTGACTTGTTGAGAAATGTGGCATTACTCTCTGTCCACCTATACAAGAAATTCAACTCCAGTCTGCTGTCTTCTAGCAGCATTGAAGAAGAACTTGATAGATTAATAACCAAAAGGAGTCTTTTACTCCTGAATTTAAATTATTTGTACTGTTCCTTTCTCTTTACAGATGATAATTGAGATTTGATTAGTACAGCTTTCCTCAGATATTAAAACTGATGCTTATTAATTCTGGTTACTTCAATATGAACATATATGATATTCTTTACCGAGGTCAGAGTAAGGAGATGCCTCACGTGGGTATCTGACCTGACAGCACCTTTCACCGCATCTGGTTATTATAGCTGGAGCCTAAGAAGAAATTTCCTCCTCCCTGGAAAACCTTTTTCCCCTTTAAAAATACGCATGCACGCGCATGCGCGCGCGTGCACGCACACACACACATTGCTTTATATTTGAGTGTCTTTTTTTTAGAGTTAATAGCCCTCATAGATATGGTTGTAACATTTGCATTCTAAATGAAATGTGCTGTTTTTAAATGTTTAGGAAATCTGCATGTCTATCTAGCAAGGGCTCAAGTGATTTTTTTTTCTTTCTGTGAAATACTTGGGTTCTTTTCTTAACTTTGGAGTTATGATGAATCGAGTGGTGTTCGACACGTACGTAGAATGTTTCACCCTGGCCGGGGATTAGGAGGTCCTCGTGCTCGTAGATCAAACATGCACTTTACTAGCAGTTCTACTGGTGGACTTTCTTCTTCTCAGAGTTCATATTCTCCAAGCAATAGGGAAGCCATGGACCCTATAGCTGGTAAGTTAGTTTCATGTTCGTAAAGGAAATTGCCAGGGAGGGGGGCCTCCCTTTAAAAGTTTTTGGTGGATTTTGTGTTTTTAGTCTCTCATCATGCTTCTGTATTCATAGAATTTCCCCACATTTTATAAATCTAAAATCTGGTAAAGGTAGATAATGTATAGTAGTTCATTCTAGCATTTCTTTAAGTGCTTAGAGCAGAAAATAGTAAGAAGTGGCTCTGGGTTCTCTATTCGTGGCCTCCATTGAAACTCCAGAAAATGATAAAAGACTTCAGAGTTGAAAGACCTCCAGAATTCCATGGTTCAACCTCCACAAGCACACAGATGCTAAGACTAATGGACAAGCTAAAGAATTACGTTTTTCTCATGGAAGGAATTAGAATAGGAATTTCTCTGTTCTTGCCTTGATTTGAGAACTGTATGCTTAGAGAACATACTGAAAAGTAAATATTTTAATAGCTTAGGAAAATCTTATTTTAAAAAGCAACAACATTAAAAAAAAAAGAAAACATTTGAACATGTAGTTCATAGCCAAGTCCATGAGTCTAATACATGGCCAACTGAGGAAGCCAGTAGTAGAGTCAAAATATAAGGTCAGAAATCACAAGAGCCTGAGGCTATAAGACACACCAAGCACAGCCAGATGGTGAGACCCTGGAAAGCCTGCATAAGTTCTGAAATGTGTGCACGTGGTACAATATGCATCTGCAAGTTGTGATGCATCTTGCAGAACATGCTGAAACCCTGGTAAGTGTACATCTGCGATACCAACTAGGAACAGTTTTACTCATAAAATGTTCTTAGAAATGTACAGACATACAGATATAAAATCTTAATTCTAAATGTGCTTTGGGCATTTGAATGTGCAGTAAGCCCTATAAACTGAATTTTGGAGATTTAAAAAAATATTCCTTCATCCAAAGGGAATATTTACATGCTGTCTTTGGTAGCAAGCTCTAAAAGTTAATTTCCAGAAGCAGAATTCAAAAGTGAGAGATTCTCTCCATGCAGTTTTTTTCTGTCAGTGAAAATTTGTTTATTTTAGTGATGGACTATATGAAAGAATGGTATAAGAACCCCTGGGATAGGGGTACCTGGGTGGCTCAGTGGTTGAGCATCTGCCTTTGACTCAGATCATGATTCCGGGGTCCCTGCAGGGAGCCTCCTCCCTGTGCCTCTGTCTCTGCTTCTCTCTGCCTCTCATGAATAAATAAATAAAATATTTAAAAAAGAAAGAAAAAAAAGAACCCCTGGTATAAAGCAATAGTGAGCAAGAAAACAGAAATGTACCCTGTTAATGAGTTTTAATGATGAAGAGCATTTGTCAGCCAGGAAATGTCTATGAGGTAGCCATCATCAATTCCATGGAAGTGAGGGAGGGAGGGACTCTTCCCCCCCCCCGCGACACACACACAGACGGGAGAAAGCAATTCCTGCAATTTACCTGGATGAGAACTTGGGGACGTAGGATATTGCTCTTGATGAGTACAACCTCACTGAAATAAGAGCGTCTGGATTGTAACAGGCCACTAACTAAGCTGTCCAGTCAGGAGCCATTCAGCCTTACTGAGCATCGCCAGTGGTACTCACTCCAGTGGTACTCTGGTACTGTCAAATGGCAATACCAGAAAGTACCAGAGAGAGAAGGCAAAGGTGAATGGTACAAAGAGTCACAGATAGAAATGACCCAGGCCTCTTAAATATAATTTTGATCATCATCCAATTGTTAAGTAATACTAAAGGCCTACTGTGTGTTGGGCACCATTCTAAGAGCTGGGAATATCATAAACAGATAAACAGTAGACTTGATCCCTGCTTTCACAGAGTTTGTATTGAGAGAATTTATGTTAGGATCAGACCATCAGATGATCCACTTAAATTTTTTTAAATACTAAGAGAAAGTATGACTAAATTAGTCCATTAAACAACAGTCTGTTATATTTTACTTCAAAAATAATTGTATGTGGAGTCATGTTTTTGCATTCCCCATACACAATAGCTTCTACCTCCAGGAGGCATTCTAAAAGATTCTGAGGGCCGCTTGGCTGGCTCAGTCAGTAGAGCATGCAACTAGTTCAAGCCCCATGTTGAGTGTAGATTACTTAAAAATAGAATCTTTAAAAAATAAAATAAAAGGCATTGAGCTTCTTGGGGCACCTAGCTGACTCATTTAATAGGGCATACAACTCTTGATCTCAAGGTTGTGAGTCCAAAAAATAAAAATATAAAAATAAAGTTTGTGAGTCCAAGCCCAATGTTGAGCAGAGAGATTACCTTAAAAATGGACAAATAAAAATAAAAGGTATTATGCTTCAAGCTGAAACTTTATGTTGCCATGGATACCTGTTGACAATCATTTCTAATATTCCTCTAAAAGAGTTATCTTCAGCATTTTGTTTTCCACAGTATTTAAGGAGATGTTAATTACCTTCGTTTCCATTGGCAGAGCTTTTATCTCAGTTATCAGGAGTGAGACGTTCTGCAGGAGGACAGCTTAATTCTTCTGGCCCTTCCGCTTCTCAGTTACAACAACTGCAGATGCAGCTGCAGCTGGAACGGCAGCATGCCCAGGCAGCACGACAACAACTGGAGACCGCACGCAACGCAACCCGGCGTACTAACACAAGCAGTGTCACCACTACAATCACACAATCCACAGCAACAACCAACACAGCTAACACAGAAAGCAGTCAGCAAACTATCCAGAATTCCCAATTTCTTTTAACAAGGTAGTTCATTTATCAATACAACTTTGTTTGAGGAGTGTTTTATTAGCACTATGCAGTCTGCAATGATCTTTTCTCTTTTGTTGTGCCTTGTATTTGTTCTTGAAGATTCGAGGTTTGATCAAACCGTTAAAACTCCTAAATCTAATCAAAATTACATATTCAGTATTTCCCCAAGAATATGAAAAGTAGTCTTATCTCTAAAGTATTATTTTAGAGAAAGTAGGAATGCTGGTGGTCTTGTTCAACAGTAAATTATTATCTAATGTGAATTTTTTCCCCTATATTGCCCATAAAACCGAAACCTTAAAGGATTGAAAACTGGGACACCGTATCATTACATTTCGGGGACACATGAAGTACACTTACTGTCATAATTAACATTGCCTTTTTTTGTTTGTTTGTTTGCCAATTGCAGTTAGCTATGAAATACTAAAAGATACAAGAGAGGATTTCATAACACAGTGTTTTTCTCCTGAGAATTTCCAAAGACTTTAAAGTCTTACATTTGCCACAAACAAAAGTAACAGTTTTTAAAAAGAGTTCACCATGGTGTAAAAAACAGTATACACAACTAGGTGGAATAGAGTTACCAGCTTCTGAAAACCTCATTAGCCACTAAATATATTCCTCTCCCAAGCCTATCAGAGTCTTATGTGACTTTTAAGAATATAAAGGATTTTCGAAAAAGCAGTAATGAGTAGACTTAGGCTTAACCGGTAATGAACCTGGACTGATCTGGGCTTAAGTAAAAAACTGTGAAGTGAAGAAGATGAGTGTAATGTATTGGTTATCTTCAAACTGATATTAGAAGACAATGTTGTTTCTCTGTGTATTTCTTTTATGTCATACTTTTAAAAATATTAGTACAGTAGTACATATGCATAGTTGTAAATAACATGTGAATGCAGAATAAAAAATGTTTGTAGACCCCTGTCTAGAGCCTCGGGTTTGCCACTTACTAGTTTGGACTTTTGGCAAGTCACTTCACTTCTCTTAACCTCAGTTCTGTCATTGCTGGCCCCTGAGCTCTGCCGCATGGAAAAGAGAATTGTTTTAAGGATGAAATGGAATTTCGGTATGTGTATGGTCTGGCTCAGTATCTGGCATATAATATAGGCCCAATTAATGATTCCCATGATTGTCATTTGTTATGGATCTAAGGAGGAAGTTTGAAGTGGGGGAATCTACCACAAATAGGAGAACTAACAGTGTATATATCCACCAAGAGTCCACTCACCTGTGGATGGAATGAATGTCTTTGGAAAAGACATTTTCCCACCCTTGACCCATTCTATTTTTTAGCTCCAAACTCAGTGGGCTTGATTTGGGGTTGTTTTTCTCTGTGTCATTATTCTATCAGACACCCAGCTCCCAGGGCATGGTATAGGTAGCCATTCGTTGAGCTGCCTTACTTGGATTTTGGTTGTAGCTTTTTGAAGAGCCCTTTTCTGTCATCTGATACAGCACATTGCACAGTACCTTGCAATTTGCAAGACCACTTTTCCCATCTTTCATTGTGTCATCTGATCCTGGCTCATATGATTTACCTTAGGCAATATTTCCAAAAAAATATTCCCTGGAACTTTATGTATTCTAAGGAACATGTATAGTTACTTATGTTCAGTTTTTTTTCCTGATGAATAATTTTGGGGAAGATTTGCAAAAGCAGTTTATTTACTGTTGGGCGTCTCAGAACTGTAAATAGATCAGCATGCATTATGAATCTTCAAGGCAGGAGAGCTTCAAGGCTGTAGTGTTTCCATAGAAAAGGCCTGGTTTTTGGTCACAAAGCCATTGCATGATATATGTAGGACCTAAGTCTTATCTTTGGCTTCTTTGACCAGGGACAGTTCCTGT